TGTTGCAAAAGCTTCTGTTAACTAAAACTAAAACAGTAACAATTATCATGATCATATAACAATGTTATGATATAGCAATCAAGTTACATTAGTTTGATTTGAAAGTAGAGTATTGCGTAGATCAAAGCAAGATGACATAAATGTTGCTAATTGAATACTAATATAATGATTTGAAGAAGTCGTAAGTTCGCCAATGGCTTGTAACGAAGATAACTGTTGAAAAGTCGGAATGATATGTTCTATTTTTTTTATATAAAATTTATTTCTTAGAATAGAGAATTTATTGCAAGTGAGATTCGTCTTCAATTTGATTAGATGCACAAATAGGGCAGAGTCTGTTAACCCTTGGAATTTGATCATATCTACCAGTCTCAATCCTTAGTTTGTGATTGCCTATCCTAAATATCAATAGTTCTTTTCTTTCGCTTAGTTTGCTTGTTTTGAAAAATGTAAAGCAGAAACCGACATAGCTTAAGTTGATTTTTTAAGGGGTACTGGCCAAAACCAGCCTTCTTCAGGTACAATGAAAATTTTATATTCGGAGTGGTGATTATGCAGTATATTTACGTAATACCGGAAATACGTAAAACCAAACTGACGGACAGTGTAAATTAAATTAAAGATAAGGTAAAATAAAACAAAATAAAATAATGAAATAACATAATAAAAGGAAACAATTAATATGTTTCTTCGGGGATGTCGAGACCATCGGGATCAATTGTTATGCCTGTTTGAATTTTTATCATTTTGTACGTTTTCTTCCCCAATATTTATGTAGATGAAGTTTTTTTTGATGAGCTGCCTTGTACTGTTGCTGGCGGTGTGCAGTGTTGACCAGGCTGAAGGGTACAACATCCAGGCAGCAATCTGTACCGAGCATTGCGACGCTCGTTTTGATATCTGCAGTGTGAGTAACGACGTGTCAGATGAAGACTGTGACGACGATTACTTTTCATGTATGGAGGATTGCTGAATACCAGAAGGAAAGCCACGAAGGCACGGCCAAATATTGAATGATTAACAAATACCGGATAGTTTTGTCTGATGTATGTAGAAACTACAGTCTAATAAAGTCAGAGCAAGCCTGCATGTATCGTAGGTAAACTGCATCAACCGACGTGTCTGTTTGTATTTTTTTCCCATTTCTGAATCCCGAAGAAGTAAGTTTCAGGTAAAAATAATTGTAGAAAAGAAACTGTTTAACTACCTTGAGTGCCAGAACATTGCATGCTTTCGATTATCAGTGAAATATAGCTAAATATAAAATTCTTGAAAATTAGGTTCCTGAATAATTCATCATTCTACAGCACCTCCGTTTATAGACTGGGTTCTATAACTCCACTAAACCTAAAATTACGTCTAAAGAAAAAAGAAGAAACGAGAAAGGAAATAGAGAGGGAGAAAACAAGAGACTGGTAGGCTTATATTGTCTGCATTGTCCTCTTCCTCCCCTAGCGACCTCGCGCCACCTTCGGCCCCGTATGGCTGCTGAACCCTTCACCCCAACAGACTAGATTCTTGGACTAAGATTTTCACTAATTCAACGCTGGTTTCCTTTCAAAAAATATAACTAAGATCGTTCAGTTGCAGCACCTACAAACCTTAACAGATTTTTGACAAAGGGAATTTATAAGAGAAGTAAAATTTTGACAGGGAGTGCGGATATTTACATGTTTCGCCGTTGGCGGTGTGGACTCAACTAAGAATTCTCCCGATAAGCCAGTTTTAAACTTATTGAGCGGTTTTACTTAAATATCAGCCAGCGATAGTTTTAGATAGGAAACCAGGGTTGAATCAGCTGAGTCCAAAAATATGTCCAATCGAATTATGTCAGCTCCGATCCACAGGCACGTCTTACTTTCGTGCCAGGACCCCGCCGGCTAGGAAGAACAGGCAGCCCTGGGGACGAGAATGAGTTTGCAAAGATCACCTACCTCTATATAAATTACTTATCAGAAATTTTACGAAAAGAAATTATTACAACAGGTATGGAAATACTGAGAAAGGAAACGAGAGCTTCGTTTTGCAGTAGAGACTGCAAGGCCGAAAGAATGTGATATAACCTGAAATCAGGTGATTTTTAAAGTTGTTTTCGCTGCGGCATAGAGTGCAAAACAGTCGTATTTTTTGCGAACGCGAGCGACGGTCAATATTCGAACGAAAGGTCTGGAGCGAGTGCAAAAACGGCGAGGGAGAATGGGGAGAGACGCTAAAAAATACGAGTTTTCTCGCCTTACACGTGTGAGGCTCGCGCGCTTCACACGCGAGGATCGCGCCTTCCGAAAACGTCCGAAAACGACTGTTTTGCAGTCTAGCTGCGACAGAACAACAAAACAGGAGCCTCTTAGCTTAGCAGCCTGCCCGTGATATTGAAGCAGAAAAATTACTAGCCTAAATAAACACACACAATCTCCACCAGCCAGCCTTATCCTGGACCAAAATGGGGGCCAATTTACTATTTTTTTGTTTGCATGTTAATTAGTCCTCTTTGCTTCATTTTCACTTTGAAATTCTTTTGTATTTTGTACATATTGACGAGGCAAAGAGGGCTAATTACGATATAAACAAAAGAATAACAAACTGGCTGCCATTTTGGAACAAACGTTTGCATTCGTTAAAACATCAAATGTACTCGCCACAGAAATTTCTTTTAAAAACGTGGTTTTTGATGAATGAAGATTCACGATCTTTTTGCCTGGTGTTGAAAATTCGATTTTGACCTCTGTTGTCAATAGGAACTCGTTTAATGCGAAATTATTTTTTTTTTTTCAACAAAGAAGTTCATTACCTTTGCGCTTGTCGATTTAGTGCTTTGTGTTCTTTTCAATGAACTCTCCAGACAAATTAAGCTGGTCACTAATTAGATTCAAGAAACCTCTTCTTTTTTTATCTATATTTCAAAAGGTTAGCGAGTTCTTTGTTAAGGGCTTGTTTAATCACAATAAAAAAACTTTAGTTGTAATCTGTACTAGAAGAAGCGTGTATTACAAAAATATTCGAAACCTATTACTTTGCTCAGTCTCTAAACGCAAGTAAATTTTATGTCTGAAAGGCCGCTTGTTTCTAGCGTTAGCAAGTTCAAAAATTTCAACTGTTGAAAATCTTGCTAAGATAAAACATGACCATCTCATAAATTTCTTACAATTAACCCACGTCATTATTTACAAACACTTCAATAGTCGTGAGTTAAAAGTACTCTATTGAGTCAAACCTCAAGTTTGACTCAAAATGTACAATTTGTGGTAATCAACCGTCTGAAAAGTGAAACAATTCTGACAAGAAGTCGAGCAAATATTCTATGTTCGTGTTATATAGCTGGGTAATTAAATATAGTTGTAGGTTGCTTACAAGTCGTGCTGCGGAAGCCGGGAGAAAATTTCCGTGACTCCGATCCTATAGCTGTAACCGCGAATAACTTTGAAGAACTCTATATCTGATGTGTTCAATTCTCAATACTCTTCATCGTCTTTGCTGAAGTCAAACTTGATCATGTCCGACGCGCGCAACAACGGTTCGAGGCTCTCAAACTGTGTGATATTCAAAGTGTATCTGTCTTTGTATTTGTTGTATTCTCCTGGTGGTGGCGGATCGTTACACCAAACACATACCACAACCTTCTCGTCGTCACAACGCGCACCAACTTTGAACTCCATTGGATATCTCAACGAAAGGCGTTCGTCTCTACAAAGCAGGCGGCGCCCGGCGCGGTACGGCAGAGCTGCAAAAAACGCAAAAGGAAACAGAGCTGTCCAGAATAGAAGACTGTTGACGTACATTAGTGACTGGTGTGGTTTGCAGTGGTTTGTTATCCAAAAGGCTGTGTTGTGCCACGAGACGTATTCTAAGGAGTCAGCCGCTTGTAGCTCCTGAGGAATGAGCTCTTTCAAAACCTGTTTCAAGTCGACCATCAGGCAAAATTTTTGCGTCCTGTTTAGTTGCAGGCGGATAAGTCCCAATGTGTCTTTCAATGCTTGCTTTAATACACCAGGTGGAAATATGACTGCAAAGTCAATATCGAAGCCACTAACCATATGTTTGGGGCAGTTTTCTGTATCAGGCGGCGAAACATTGACCGAGGCACCACAATGCTGACGCCGTGTCACGCACATTAAAACTGGTCTTTCCAGAACACACTCAAATGTCGAGATATCCTCTTGATCTCTCACTCGGAACATCTGCTTCTTCGAGTAGACGATGTGGGTGTTTTTCGTCGTTGGTCTGAACATGTCATTTGAGGTTATGGTTGTGATTTTTTGGGGGTTGTACCCTATCCAACCAGGCGCTACCTCCTCGCTGAATGTGAAACAATCGGCAAGCAAGCTGTCTCCGCCCTCACTTAAGACTGAGAGAGAGTACAGAGAGGAAACTGGACAGAAAATAACTTTCTGATCTGCTGGTTTCTGCAACTCCATGGTCATTGCTATTATACCAGCGCTAAGCCCTTGCATGTCTTTATATATGAAAATCACATCTTTGTTACGTCATCATGTTATGTAAACCTGCAGCGCGTAACTAGTGAGAAGTCGCGCGCTGAAAAGTGTGTTTTACAGGTCTTACTTATGAGCTTGCAGAAGAAGCTGCCATCCAGCAACTTTTGTCAGAGATACCAGGCATAGCAAGAATGCTGTTAAGGAACGGAAACTCAACTTTCTCTCGCTCAGTATTGTCTGGTTTACACAGGTATTACACCGGGCACGTGAAACAGCATTAATTTTTAAGAGGTCTCTTCAGAAATCACAGAGTAGTTTGAAAAAATTAAAAACACGAACGGTTGTTGAATAGGATTGTTTAACTTTGCCTCTGAAATGTTTCACCTGTTCTCCGTATATGAGAATGTACGCCTCAGCCACTCGAAACATGGAAAAGAAATCGTTTCATAACTAAATAAACGTTGTTGTAAAGTCTTAGGCCGTCGTAATGTGATTTCCACCCGTTTGAGCCCTGATAAAAAGGGAAAAAATCAGCGAAGCTAAGACCATCTGTGTAAGATCACATCCAGACAGCCTAAAGCTGAGTTTTATGGAGTGCAAAACGGCAAACACAAAAGTTTCCTAAACAACCACTCCAAATCGGCTAGGTGTAACCAAACCGACAGACAATAAAACAAGTAAAGACCAAAGGAGCAAAGAAAGACAGTTTTATTCACAATCATTATCTTCAGCTCTTAAAAAATGCTTGTCAATTCCTTTACTACCCACGTATATTACGCTGTTGAGCAAAGATGTTTATCACTTTCATTCGCCGGCGCCATTGGCTTTGATAATGACCTGAGATCCAGGACACTTTCTGTTATGTAACACACGTATGTGAGAATAAAGGCTACAAACTTAAGAATACGCTTGCACGTGCGTAAAACGTGCAGGCATTACCGACCGCTTGCCGAAAGCGGGAACCTTAACAGGGCTGTTATTCGTGTATACAGTCCCACTCTACTTTCAAGTTCATGATGTTTGTATTTTTTTTCTGTATAAGCACGATTCATTCGTTATTCCTTTAGAAAACAAAATCTAGGAATTCCTTTGGGACAAGAATGAAGGTCTATTGTAGAGCGCAAACCGCCATAGTTTTGTTCATTCGAAACCGCAGACCGCTTTCGATTTTTCCTAAAAACCGAAACCGCCCTACTAGAAGAACGGTTATCATCATAACCGATTTTTTATATAACAAACAGCACTTAACTAATTCTTTACGAAATTTTGGCTCAATGATCTTATTTCTCTTCACAAAGACCATAAGATCTTAAGAACAGAACGAATTGTTCCTAACTGTATTCAGGAGCCAGTGAACAAAAAGTTTCGACGCCTGATGAACAGTTCACAAACACAAAGATTGCTCGAGATGTTTCTAACAAAGCGTTAAAGTATAAGTTTTGAGGGATCTTCTTTTGAGGGCTCTCTGTTTGAATGATCGCCACAAAAGCGCGCTAAAACCCACTGAAAAACGCGAGTTAAAATTATGATTTCCCGCAACCGCGCGATAATTTCTTAACCATAAACGGTCAGATAAAAGTAAATGTACTCGCAAATCGGCACTCAAAATTGGCTTAAGTCGCCAGACCACCAGAGTACAATAGAACCTCAGGAACAAAGTTGTTGCAGAATTATGTATTGCAATGAATCCATTGGCTGAAGCACGTTTGAAAGCACGTTTTATTCGGTATGTGTTTCTCAAGAAAACGAAATCTAGGAATCCCTAAGGGGAAAAACTTAAACAGGAAGGTTGCGAAATGATGTAATGATCTGTATGTTAATGTGTTAGCACGTTTGTAAGCACGTGCCATTTGAAAATAACTGGTATCCGTAAGGGACAGAAATTTCTATACTAAGACTGAGAAATTTCTTATGTAATCCTTCGCCAGCGCGTTAAGTAGCCTTCCTGAATACATTGCTCTACAAGCTCTACAATGAAATTGTACATCAAATTAGAGGATGGTTAAATAAGATAAAACGCGCTCTTATTCCCGTCGCAGCCTGTTTGAATTTAAAACACGCGGTATAATTTCGTTCCCAGATCTCTTTCAGATTCAGTCCGCCCATAAGATATCTGGGAACGAGATTATACGCGATAGTTTGGAGCCGAAAACAATGACGAGGTCTGGGTCGGCCGAGCGAGTTCAGAAATTCTCGAGGGATGCGATCGTTTACCGAGGACATCGGAGTTTCCGAACATTTTCGGTTCCAGACCTTGCACAAGGTGATCAAGTATTAAAAATTCAAAGCGGTCATTTTTCGATCAACAGAAGCAAGATTATCTTTCATTCACCCTCTAATATTGATGTGAGGGCCCTATAAGCTGTGTGTCATGCACAGCCTACTAACGAGTTTCAATATCGCAGTCAGGTCTTTTTTTTAACGGAAACCTGTATAAGAGGGACACCTGCGGTTGCTCTTGCCTTTCTTGAGTGTTTTGATAGCCGCTAGTCCAAAATCGACAACGAAAAGCTTAAAGTAACAAACGAAAAATTGCATTTAATTAGGGGAACAGGAGAGAAAATATAATTTTCTAAGAGATCTAAGGGACACATATCTCCCATGGGGTTGCCACCGATATATATTTTGTGACAAGTTTTCTGTCCTCAGTTCCTACGTTTGAAGTAACTAAATGTTTTAAGCAGTAATGTTTACTGTCATGTCAGTGCACGGTTGATAAATTAAGGTTATCATCATTGTCTATAAGATGATGCGAATGCGCTTTCTTCCCTTTATAGAAATTTAAAAAGGAAAAGTTTTATGATAAACAAAGCTTTTTTCTTTACCGATTCAGTTCTGACTGATTTTTGGGCTTGATTGAAGCGGTGTATATGACATTCTATGAAATCGCTTTTGATGCAGTTGTTCGTCTTCGGGTGTATAAGAGAAATCGTGCGCACATTTTATCTAAATATATGCTGCTACATGAGATCCGTGAAGGTTTAAAAACACGTTAATACCCGCCCTTATATTCAGCCCCCGAATGCAATACTGCTTCTTGTCGAGTTAATGCAACATGTGTAACACGTACAGAGTAAATACTTAAAATTTGCCAATTATCCATTCCGAAAATCACGGAGAAAAAGCAGAAAAGTTCTTACTGAAGTTAAGGAAGAAATGAAAATGAAAATTAAGCCGCCCGCTACTGAGAAAGCATCGGTTGGCAGAAAATTCGTTACTATTGATCACTGTTGAACTTTCAAACGCTGATGTGAGGAAACTTTCCGTTTGATTTATACAGTGTTAATGTTTCGTGAGATTTTTAATCTGAGTGTTTTAACTTTCAATTTCCGTCTAGAGATAAAAAGGGTTACTTCACATGAGGTATATGGCCAGTTTTTAAAGACGGTTGAGATTTCTATACTAACTCGACAGGCAAGATTGCTAGTTGTTTCTATAGAACACAGTAATTCTGGGAGGTGAACAGAAAAATAATGCGAAGAAAATTTTTCAAGTGATACATCATGAAAATAATAAAACCACATTTATTGATAAGTCTGACAGAAGTGATTTGCTACCACACAAACTAATATTCCCAATTTTGCGATTTTCAGAATGCGAATTAACTTTCAGCCGTCTATGGACTTAAGAATTTTGTTATATTTTATCTGATTTTTAATAGATTCTAGGTTTGGCACTCTGTTAAACACTTTCTTTCTTCTCACTACCATAGCCGTGACAATTATCGGCTTTTAACAAACCAGTGAGATCAAGAAACGAAAACACTTTCCCGTTTTCTGGTTTAGTCGCCTGATTGGCAATCTGTACTACATCTGTGATGCATAATCACAGCGCTTCGCTGCTGAACCAACAAAAATTCACGTCATGTCTTCTCCACCGAGACAGAATCCGTTAACATTAAGTCACGTTTTCTACAAAAGTAAATTACCTTTGACGCGTGTATATTTAGATATGTCAGAATTACGTGGAATAAAGGGAAGTGTCGTTTCCTTGTTGCCAGAGACAGAATTAAGGGCGCTTTTATCACCTATAATTGCTTCTTTTTCAGAGAGGAAATAAGCGGCAAGGATCTTGAAAGAAAGAGGCATCGAATAACCGCCCTTTCTGTTCACGGCTTACTTTCCCTTATGTGAATAAACAATCGTTTAAAATTAAAAAAATGAATCGTTTAAAATGCGATTCCTACCGCGGAAGCTTAATTAAGGAGCTTACAGTGCTATTGTGACTGTTACGTTGTGCGAACTTTTACGGAACGAAGACAATTAAAAATAACTTTGTACTGACTCCCCAAGAAATGTCGATGATAAGTGTAGAATTATAGAGATTAAAAATCTAAATTTCCCTCTTTTCTACTATTGTATTATATTGCCTCAGAGATGTATCCATTCAGTTTTCAATTATCGGTGAAAATACAACTCATCAAATGTGTTTTCAGTTAAAAGAAAAAAATCTACGTGATTTGAAGTGAACTACCAGGGAGTAAGACTTGACAGACAGTGACGACGATTTTAACTGAATGCAAACAGCGTTAGGAAAAAATATCAAGAAGATAATCTGGCTGAAAAGGTGATTTCCATGCAATCACGGATGTTTGCCTTGAAGCAGGGATGAAAAGAAAATGTAATTACAACTTACATCTTGTTTTACGAAGCCTACTTCAATTGCTACTGTAACACAAAAGAAGTGTTTCCTATTTCAAGAGCTTTTCGAAGTTAAATCGCCTCATCTTTTTGCGGTGACAAATTTTGACGGATGAAAAATAAATACGTGAGTATTGTTAACGCAACTGTTAATTGCCTCTCTGAAGACCTCAACGCGCGTCAAAGCATCGTGATTAAAATGGAAGTTGAAAAGAAGTGCGAAGTTTTGATTTATCTTTAATGGCTTGCCTTGGAACAGCGAAAGCGCTACAAAAAATGCGCTAATGTATTTAGCATTTTATTTTGCAATAATGAAACAAAGAGAATAAATCATTACGAAGCGGCAAAATAAAGCGCGTTGAAAATAACTGTCAATGTTTCCCTCTGATTCGTTAACGTTAATGAGCTATCGACTTTTATCTTCCGGCTGTTAACGCATAAATATGTTCTAAATCGCAGACGCAATCTACAAAATTACTTGAAACGCTACCTGTGACAGTCTCTCGACTTCAAGACAAGGATTCCGGTGAAAAAACCTCATTACCACAAAAACCAAAGGTAACTTTAAAAAATCTAAGATTCAGAATTCAAAAGTAAAAATGGAAGAGAAGAATAGAAGAATAGATAAATAAAAGATTCAGTAAAGAGAACTTAAAGAATTTTACCTCACTTTTCAAAATACGTCACTTTTTTTAATGCCATAACTATCTTTGAAAAGGTCAGTTCATTGAAATCCTTTGGACCACAGATTCACATCATTCTACATAAGCTAATGCTTTATGAAGAAGTAGAAAAGATACGATAACGAGAGATCGCAAAATATTGTTATGTATTCCAGACTGTAGAGAGAAAGCAGTCGAGAAAAAATACGTGCTGAAAAATCGTTAAATTGAGGGAAAATTAACAGAACAAATTCTTCATGGAAGCACAATTCTGTCCACNATCACTTGAGTAAACCTGATCGAAAAAAGCGCCTTCCAGAAAGCGAATGATTCACTTATCTCTATCATTTGAGTCGACGCACTGATATCATTGGGGAAACGTTTACCTCAACTAAACACACTCTGAGTGAGTTGATGAAAATGTCAAAGAAAAGGATCTTTTATTGTGTTGTATTCTTGGGAGAGACACTACACTCACAGGGCGTCTCCCGACCTAGTTATATCAATAAGTTTCGGCAAATTGTAATGGCAACCTGACAGAGTGGGGAGTTACCTGCGATGGACTAAGATCGCAATGGCAATACTTCTAGCCACTTCATGCTATAGAAATCTGAGTTAATCGCCGGGAGCTACATATGAACCAGTTAGGCTTAACGTCATAAAACCAAAAAAGTCCAAACTCGCTCTAAAACTGCAATTTGAGTGCACAACGCTTTAAGAAAAACCCCTCTTTAAAATATAACCGTATACTATTTTTGTCCTTTATCAGATGAAGACTGCCATACTTTCCATCCTCGTTCTGGTTGCCTTCATCAGCATGTCATCATTTGCTCTTCCGTCGCCGAACCTTGCCTGCCTAGATAACTGCGACGCTGATTTCGACCTTTGCATTCACGCGTGTGACGTCACACCATTTAACTGTGATATTTGCGACACTCAACTGAACAAGTGCAGAAGGACATGTTAAGGATACGTTGGGGCACTGAGAAGCCATTCAGAAGGCCATCACACCTTCGAGAAGAATAGAAACAATTTAGACTTGTACTTATGCGTAGAGTCTAGTGTAACATGTGAACATATATCATGGAAGTATTTCTAGCGTGTTTTGTTCATTTGTAATTGTAGATTGTGTTGTCCATGCCACGAAAAAGATGTTCATGCAACTGATTTATTCTGAATGCTTCCCTAACTTTTACATTATTGGCGTTGGCATTCAATCACAATAGTATTCGAACCCATAACTGCCCTGATTGAACCTAAGTGGTGGAACTAGCGGGGGTGGGGGAGGTCCGGGGGAGGGGGTCACAACGCACCCATCAGATACGACAATAAGTGTGTTCCTGAACTGGCTACAGACTTGTTTTATGACTTTAAAAGGTAGAGAGAGAGAAAAAAGGAGAAATACTGGAAGCAATCAAAACGAAGAAATATCAACTAACAAGAAACAAGTTACTAAAAGTCCGAGCCGAACCAGAAGCCAATCCCGTCTTCAGAACCTGTTATTTCATTCGCCCCCCGTGCCACGCATCTCTACTCTTTTCAGGGCTTGATTTCTGTTGTTTGTTCTATGGACGGTTTTCTCAGCCAATCCTGTTAAGTCTTCCAAAAAGTGCGTGGAAGGAAGTCTAACGCCGGTTTACGGGACGCCTTTTCAGTGAACTCCTCCATGACGAACCGTATGTGTAACAATTCTGGTCAGAATTGTACTTCCAATTTAAATCTATGTCGAGGAAAAGGTTGTTGTTATTTGACGTTTCGACTGCTTACTGCTAGTCTTCTTCAGGCGATGAGGTCGACTGATTGCACGGTATCATTTATATCACAAAGGTCGGCTGTGATTGGTGCAT